AATAAAGCATCATCTATGTGAGCTACTGCATCTTCTCCAAGAATAGGGACAGTGGAGTTGATGTACAGTGAATAAAGTTCAGGTAGGCTGAGAATCTAAGTCAGATTCTAGACTGTACATGACGAAAAACCAATTTCTCACCCACATTTTAACTGTGTTTAGGCAAGTTATAGAATCTACGTGGTTAAAATCACTAGATCATTTTTATGGTGCCTCCCTGATTCTTGGAGTTCCCTACCATAAGTCCTGACCAGAATAGAATTCTAACTCTGATTTTCCAACAATATAGAATTCATAACTTATTTCATAGACATTAATCCAATGTGTATCTCTATCCTCTCAATGATAGCTTCATCCTAGCCGCTAAGAAAAAATATTCTACAAAAAGAGTCTTTGGGAGACAATTATGTATGTGTCCAACTTCCCACTTGCTCCTTGACTTGTACTCTACATGTCAGTGCCTTGATTTTATGACTTGAAAAACAGCAAAACTGTAGTCCATATGCAGTTAAATAATGAATATGAAAGTAGGTTTTTGAGACTTAATTCTTTATGTACATAGGCAGTGAGACCCATAGAGGAGGAATGCTGAGAGAGCAAGACATAAGGGAAAAACAAGACTTCAGTTGACCTAGGTAATCAAGACTATTGAAAAGAAAGTGCAAGCTCTTTAAATACAAGAATCAAGCATGAACTTTCTTAGTTTCCTCTGATATCAATGATTATAGTTTTAGTAAAGAAAAACCCTATCCATAGATCCATTTGGACATTTAATATAAAGTCACTCCAAAGCCCGACAAGATCAGCTGTGAGTCTTCAATTTTAACATTTTACTAACATCAGTCTCTTGACTGTCTGTGGTAATGTCTTCTCCCAAGCATGGCACTAATAGAGTTAGGTATATGAGAAAGGAAAATTAGAGAACTGTGACCCAATATTCACAAGACTTTTAAGTTCATAAGCCTTGGAGACCACTGAGCCAGAAGGAAGATTGAAGAACAAAGAAAGGCCAGAAGGCTCAGTCATTTAAATGGGCAAATTGACAACAGATGGGCTTTTGTACTTTTTTATACGGAAATACATGGAGAGCTTTATTACATTATTTACAAGCAGAGTGAAGACAAAAGTAACTTATACCTTCCAGAAAGAACTACAGTTTTACAAAGGCAAGGTCAGCTAAATTTTTACCCTCTTTTCTACATCTAAGCCAACTGGATGTCACATGCCAAAAACAGCCCTGCACAAGTGTACTATTTAGGGGTACCTTGGAGTCTCAGACAGAAACTTGGAAACAGTAGCAATCTACATAGCATGCAATTCAGCAGCAACTTTTCCAGCTAAATATTTTCTATTTTGCAGAGTGTACAAAGTACTAAAACAGAAAGGTCCTTTTGAGAATACTCAACCTAGAATTTTTTGGAAGTATTGTTGAGGAAAGCTTCTTTATCAGCAGCATCTACAGAGTGTGACAAAAATGCTGATTAGAGGGTCTCATCACAGAAACCCAGAGTCACAATCTCCAATCATGAAATAATGGAATCTTTATGTTAAACACCCAAGACATTAGAATGTATCCTGAAATTTGAAAATTACTGACTAATGTTGGAGCTCTACTTAGCTCCAGTATTCCCAAAGTTAAATCAGAGGACCACTTATGTCAATTCTATTGGGGCAAAAAATCTATTCATGAGTCTCCCACTAGCTATCTTGAGTCAAAATTTCTTATGAGTTGAAGTTTGAGAAGCCACATCTTGTACATCAATTAACCACTAAGAAGAATGTATGCAATGTGTGAATTATTGAAACTGTCTTACCAATTTGATTTGAAACTGTCTCATTGCTACTTGCTTTTCAATAAAATTATGGGAAAAAAGTAAATGGAAAGGCCACCTCAAAAAAAAAGAGAGAGAGAGAAGCCAAATCCTTACATGCTACAGATAAAGAAACTGAGGCCTGGAGGCATAGAGTGACTTTCCCAAAGTTGTCAGTCTGGATGGTGGCATAGATAGACACACATTTAGCTGTCCAGACCAGTTCAAATTACTATGTCATTCTACACACTTAAAAGGGCTATTTATGTCTCAATTTAGATCCTGGGGACACAGATTTCCTTAGAAGGTGTGAATCTAAAGAGAGAAATGTATAGTTGGTCAAAAGTCCCATGTCAAGACTTCTCTTCTAGTGAATTATAAATAACATCTTGGCATCTGAACTTTTAAAAAGTAAAAAAAAAAATTTCTTTTTGAAGATAAGGTAGTGAAAGTTCACAAAGTCTCTTATAAACAACAGGGTACTGCACACTTGTGTTGGACAGCTTTCTGCTTACTATAACAAAATAGTGGATATTATCAACTTGAAAGAACAAAAGTTTATTTTGCTCACAGTTTGAAAGATTCAGTCTGTGGTTATTTGCACCTTTTGCTTTTGGTCCTTTGGTGAGGCAGTAAAAAGCTACTCAGCCCTTGGAAGCTGAGAAGTAAAAACAGAGAGGAGGGGATGAAATCCTAATATTCCATTTGAAGGATCACACTGTATGACATAAGACCTCCAATGAGGCCACACTAATTAAGAGTTTCCATCAATAATGTCAGGTTGAGGGTGAAGTCTTCAATACATGAGCCTTTGAGGAGTATTCCAGATCAAACTGTAGCAAGGACCTTGCAAGTACAATCTCAGAGAAATTCATAGTGCAATTTTATGTCAAGGGTAACTTTCAACCGTGATCACAAGCCAAACTGTAGGCAAACACTGAAATGGTATGCTATACTTTACTAAACCAATGTATTGTTGTTTTTGTGGATGTTATTGCAGTTGTTGAAACGTATTAAATAAATGGTTAAATATCTGTATGTTTCTGTCAGACTTGGTCTAACTCACCAGTCTGAACCTCCAAGCCTGTGCATTTAACATTCCAGTTCTGTTTCTTCTTCATTTCTTCAAGGTGAGATTCTTCAGACTGGTAGGCTGTGCTCCAGAATCTTCTCAGGGCAATGCAGTAGAACGTCACTGACCTCTAAAATGAGAGCAGTTCTCCAAATGATAAGGTAAGGTATATTTGCTTTGACAGATTAATTAATTGCCATTGACAACAGGGCCATTGTATGATTTGCATTTGTACTAATGCTCATAATTTTAGCAAGTGTTTCACCAGTGCTACATAATTAGGAAAATTAAATGTCCTGCCACCTTGAATATATAATTCTGGAAAGAAACAGGAGACCTAAAAACAGATCTGGAACTTCTGGGGGTAGAAGTAAAGGGCAGAAGGCAAGGTCAGGAAAAGAAAATCACACCATTTCAATCAAGGAAGAATTAGCTAGTTGTCCTCAAGTGACATAGAATCGGTGGTTCTTAATTCTATTTCTGTCTAAATTCTAAAGAAGGCCCACACTGCCCTTCGCAACTGTCCATCACTCACAGGACAACACAAAAATTAAGCATAATAAATCCTGGTATAAATCCTGGTTTGAATAAAGACTGTATCACCCTAAGCAAATTATTTCACCTCTTTAAGAATCATCTTCCCGGACTGGAGAGATGGCTCGATGGTCTAAGCAACACTCTGGCAAATGCAAGGACCCAGGTTTATTCTCCAATACTGCATGCTATGCAGGCCCCAGAACACTGAAGACCTGAATGAGTCCTTCAAGTTAATCTGGTGTAGATCAGTTTGTTTCTTGCCTCCAATTTTACACTATTTTAGTCTACAAATATTTTTCCATAAATCTAGAAAGTAGGAGGCATTTAAATAAAACCTAAGGAAATGAGTCTTATATTTTCAAAGATTCAGTGATATACTTTTACCCACCTCTGAGTAATACAAATATATTTAAATAGTATGCTACACAAGGAAAGTTAGTGAGAGGAATTGAAATACGGGACAGTTCAGTTGATATGCTATGTATTTAGTATTTACTTTTAGATTTTTTTTTGGTGGCTTTATTCTTGTTCTGAATGCAAAGAGAAGTGTTGAACATTTTGATCTTTACACTTTTAAGACTGTTCAGTTTGTCTTTGCTTGGTCTCTCTTACCTCTTCATCTTGCCTGTGATAATTTGATTATTTCCATGGCAACAAAAAGTAACCTCAGGGACTAGGTAGTCAGAACAAAAGTGGATTAACTAGCATCGCAAAAACAGATTCCTATGATTCTGCAAGCTAGGATTGGGCAATAATGCTATGCTTATTCCAATTATGGTTAAATACTTTCCACAGCAGCACTTTTCAAATGGAAATGCACATTTTAATCACCTTTGAAATCCTTTAAAATATGAAAACTGATTCAGTAGTTCTTGGATGGGGTGTAGGATTCTGTATTTTTGGCAACTTTTATGTTGATATAAATGCTGCTTCTTCTCACCTTACATTTTGAAATATCTCCACTTACTCATCTGACTGATGAAAAACTTTAGAACCATGATTAGTAATTATTATTCAAATCCATAATTAATATGAGGGCAAATTGTATCTACAACGCAAAGAAAAGGAGGATGGACAGAAAGCTACTGTGACTATTGTATATATCTTCCTAACTTAAGTCTTCTATGTGTTCCAAGGTAACATATTTCTTCTGAATGTGCAGAACATTGACATTCTCCTTGAAGAAGAGGCATTTCTGAATAGCAGACATTTTTGAGCATCTCTTCAATCAAGTCTCAGCATCCACTAGTGACTTTTCATAGCTAGTAGTTTTGGCTGCTTGCTAATGACACTGGCTGTCTGATCACAGAACAAATCACAATCTTTACTAGTATACAGTTCTATTCAGTCTCATCTGACTCCAGAAGACATAGTGAAGTATACAGAATCACTACAAACCTTGTAGGCAGATATTTCTTTTCTTCAAAGAGATAATCTGGTTCACCATCCACAAACACATCTTCCTAAGAAACAATGCCATGCCTGCTCTGATCATCGCCAAGCTGTCTGGACACTGACCACTTGAGCATTTCACCCAGTTTCTAGGTGACCTTGTCAACCACTGAGGATTTCTTGCTCAGGCGATTACCTACTTGACAGCTCTTAAGATTTCCAATCTTATAGCTGATACCCAAGTCAAGCTCTTTTCTGACTACTTAACTTAGCAGATGGAAAATTTTGGAATCAACTGTGAGTATGACCAGTGTGCTCCATTGAAGGAAAATGAGAACTTTGCTCTTGATTTCCAGCAGTCATCTCGTGACCCCATAGAACAAGAAATGAACCTTCTGATGAATGCTAAGGTTGACAAAGTAGACAGTGGCTTTCAGCAAAATATTACTACTTTCCAGTTTCTTTCTCAAAGTCTGAGTTGTAATGAAACAAATCCCAAAGAGAAGATCCAGGAGAGACTGTCTGATAACATCCAAGATCAAAAAAGTGTCACAGCTATGATGGCAAATCTTCCAGACCTAATAATTCAATGCATTCAGTTGGACAAGAAATGTAATGAAAAGCCAGAGCTCCTACAGTCAGAAGCCCAGCTCCCAGAGTTGGCTTTCCCGAACCATCCCCCATCCTTCTCCAGCTCCATGTGTCCACCACCCAAGGAAGAGCCTATACAACTTCGAGGAGGTCTGCCTCTTACTCCAGCCAAAAGAGCCCGCCAACAGGAAAGTCAGTTGTGCCTCTACTGCAGCCAGGCTGGTCACTTCACAAAAGACTGCCTTGCCAAACGTTCTCGAGCCCCAGCAAGGACAAATAACCCAGATCACCAGTAAGAGGAGCCCATAAGGTCACTTTGTGAACTTATATTCTTCTCATTCCAAGCCTTATTGATTTATATCCTGAACTAACTCTAAAATATAAGTGGAGAACTGTGATACCACTTTATATGGTCATGAACTACTACTGTGCTTCTGGAAATTTAAACTATTAGATCTCTTTCACTGGAAGTTGACCATTTGCCAATGAACTAATAATACTGAAAGCAATTCATAGGCATCTATATAGTTGGGACCAATTTCTCAGAAATTATAGAAAGTTTACAGGCAAAACTATCCCCAGTCCAAGCCAATAAAAATAGCTTCGGCAGTATATTGGGAGTCCCATTCTCACCAGTAGTTGAAATTTGGGTTACATTTATTGAGCTAAATCATGTGTCATGTGTGCCTATGAATTAGCCCAACACTTTTATACTCATCCTTCTTGATCTGTACCCAAATTTCAAGTTAACATAGAAACTTCACCTGCAATACCAGTTGCATTGTCATATCCTGCTATTATGCACCTTCTAGAGACTTGATTAGAATCTAGCTTCAGCACCAACCAACCTTCCTGGACCTACAGATCTGCCACTCATCCACACAGCTATATGTTTTGTTGCCAGCTGAAATATCGTGCCTAAAATTTGAATTGCCTGGCTATTTACAAACCAGATTGTATGAACCTTTGAACACTACTTGTTGGACCTTTCTGGAAGTCATATACTTTTATCCATACTTCACCAATCTCAGCAATCTCTCCCTTTACTAAAGATCTTACTTGAGGTTCTAGAATATCTTATGGTTAAGTCAAATAGTTTAAGACAATGTTCTCTGAAAGATATTTAGTGAAAGACAAAGAAGATGTTCTGTTGTAATTATTGTATTTGGATTATATTCTTGCTGCCTTGAACATGGAATATGGACAAACATATCTGTGCTAAGGACTCAGAATTATGCCCTAAAGTAATTCCCTATTGTAGGAGCCTCAAATTGGTAACCGTCTGTGATCATTTTCCATTGCTTTTGAGATCTAATCTCATCTAACAGAGAATCTTGAAAAGCAGAGTTAGAGACCATTTTCTGAACCATCTCATCTGGAAAACGTTGGGACACATACATTAACACTATCTTTGTATAAAATTCAAGACCTGAGGGAATTTGATTGTGTTGTACTCAACACATACCAGCTCTGCACATGCCCTAAAATGCCAAGAGCATCCAATAAGGATCAGAAATTCTTGGTTATTACCATTGTGTTGGTCTCAGGATCTTGCTGATGATAAGCCCCCCCAATGGATTGCTTAAAGATGAACAATTACATATTCCTTAGCAGCCATCAGACCTTTCAGAACACAAAGTGACACTGTATTTTGTTATTTTTCCTGGAAAATTCCCCTAACTTTTCAACATTTAAACACAGTTAGATCTTTTGTCATCTTGAAAAACCAGAAAATACATCTTTTTACTCATCAGTGCCTCATTAACTACTGTGTTAAACTATACATTTATGGGCAGGGTCTCCTTTATCAATAGCTTGCTGTACATATCCACATTACTGCATACATTTTCACAATAAGGAGACTTCAGTGCACATGTTCTAGTTATGCTGAGAAATCTCTACTGTGATACTGATATTTTATGAGATCTTCCAACAAGTAGACCTATTTGAACTTTGAGTTACAGGGATTACCTGGTGGTATCCTGATCTATCTCCACTAAAACATTTTTAAATAAAGGCCTAACTGAAAGGTCTCCATTGGCTTTCTTTATTCACTCCAGTATGTTCCTAGAATGCCAATAGGATCATTCTGGTTACTTTGTCACCAATCTTTCCTTATTTTAGCACCATAATTTATCATTGTGCACTCTCTGCATAGACACATCCCTTGAAGCATGATTATCTCCTTCATCAGAAGGTTTGCTAATATCATAGCCTCTTAGCAGTGATAATGTGTTCAGATCTGTGAACTCCAGTTCACTTCCCATTGCTTTATGCCCCCTGCTGAAGCACTTCCCTCAAGGGCCTCCTATGTACCGTGTGGTTTGATCCAATATCCAGGCTAAGCATATTACTTTGAATCTGTGATAATACTTTATGGCCAACTACCTAGCAACGATTTTATCCCTTTAAAATTTTCTTAAAGTGACACTGCACTATACACCATCAGCTCTAATTAGAATGACTACCTAGAATGAAGGATTACAAAAGAGGGTACCTAGAACTTATAACTACATAAATTTCTCTGAAAGTGCAATTAATTAGAACCCACAAAGAACCAATGAGATATAACCTACTCAAAGATGCAGTCTGTAAATACAAAGGCTTGGGAAACCTTGTAGGTCAAATCAAATATACATGTTTAGAGAAGTAAATCTGCTATGTGACTGATGCCTATGGAAAGGAAAGAGCTAATCACTTTATGATAAATTTGAGAAATGAATTATCAAGAAGAAAATGGTCTGCATCAAGTCTAGAAAAGAATACAGTGAAAGAATCATGGGCATCAGCAATCTCCCTGGCCTCACAGATGAGATATTGGCCAGTAAGTCATTTGGCAGGTTTACTCTTGCAAAGGGCTTATGCCACTAGGTCATCCCAATTGGTGTCATTAGTTATTAAAGTTGACACATATCTCCCTTTGTTCTGACTCTGTGGTCTCCATATAATCTCATTGTAGTTGCTTTCTTAAGTAAATGTTATTATGGGGGAAATTTTTGCTAACCACTTGAAGTGAGTATTCAAGACTATTTAGCAAGTGTTTCTCCTAAGTGAATAAAATGGTATTTGTCTTACATGTCAGTATCTTGTGAGTTATAATAGTACCAATGCTTTGTATTCTAATCACCTCTCAGCACACAAAAAAATATTATCACTGCAAATTTAGCACCATAATGTGAATCATAGTGAAAGCACTGGAAATTAGCCTCTAGAGGCAACTTTTCTCAACATCAGCTAGTCTACCTATTTCTGTCATTTTCCTATAGCTGTAATAAACTTACTAAATGCCTCTAATTTTCACTTGTTACACCTACTTTTCCTCACACCAACAAGCCTTTTACTATATTACATAGTTCAGTTTGTAAAATATACTGTCATGGATAACATATAATTACAGACATAACTAGTGAAAAACACTATTGGAGAGGGAAAAGTAGGTGACTGGCCTTAGTCTCACTATCACCATTTTGCCCAGATGACAACACATAGGATTCATTCTGTCATTGCTGTCACTTCTATCCATGATACAGTAATACCATGTTTTTCTAAATTCTGAAATGTCATCTCCATCTAACTCATGTTACTTATTCACACAATGCACTGTAAAGAAATATAGCATTCAAAATAAAAAGAACTTTTACTAGTATCTTGGCAAAATCAAATACCATATACCCTTGGAAGGACTTTAGAAACTTGTATCACTTCTTTAAAACGCTTGTTTTTGGTTGCCAGTTTCATTGGCTACCTATGAAACATAAAATCTTACTATGACAATAGAATGGAAAAGCTTTGCAAAGAATATAGTTATAGATCTTTAATGTCATCATAGACCAGGAGTTACTGACCATATTTTGAAAACTTGAGTTTCAGCACATAGTTACACTAGTTAATAAAATCAAATTCTTTTGGTAAATGTGTCTTACTGCCTAGACCAGGTTGTTCAGTCACTGTTCATGGCTATACTTTTGAATATTCATGCACTAAATTATTGGCATCACTTCTTGATAGTGTCTTTGATTTTTAATCTGATTATCTTATTTCCTTTTCATTTATTTTAGTACTTAACTTACATGCTTGGGTTTTCTTATCTATCCAGCTCAGTGATAAGACAATTATGCCTGTATTCACCAACTGTTATTTATAGCAGCCCAGTGCAGGACTACATGGATATTCTGTCTATCTTCCCTATTCAGAGATTTATCCTTTTGAACGTAATAATGATGAGTGCCTTCCTCACTCCAAGCATTGTAGTATTTTAATTTTTAGTGGCAATTATTTAAGGTTCATGTTATTAAAAATTGTAGTATACATTTCTAACATTCAATATTCATTGCATCTTTATAGGTTAAATTCCTAATAAAAGATGAGAAACTAAATGTTCAGAGCAGTTTACGTATTTGTCTCTATCATACAACTAGTAAGTTACTGAACTAAAATTTGAAAGTGTATTTTTCTAATGGCAGAAATTTGTGTTCTGCAAGAATAAAACAAAAACCTCTCTAAGTCACACTTTCTTAATAACCCTAACAGATTCAATTACACCTCCTATATCCACTCTAGTAACTTGTATTTGCATAACCATTGGTGAAACTCTAGTCTATAAATGAAGCATAGAACAAATCAGTATCTTCTAGAAATTTGAAACTTCATTTGTGATTCTAACAAATTGGGGAAATTCTTTGACTTATTTGACACTGTATTCTATCTGCATTATATGATTGAGTAGGGTCTTATTTATTGAATTAGGATTCTAACAAAAATGTCTAACACAAAGCCCTCATATTTCCATAACTTCACTTAAAGCTGTTGAGTATTTCTGACAAATAATATTTGTAGTGACTATACAATGCAAGAAGACAAAGACAGCATTTAAAGTCTTCTGATGGCTCTTATTTGCCATTATCATGAGAAAAATCAAAGCTAAAATAAGTTTGACTAATGCAGACAGCAGTTAGCCATTTACAATTAAAAACTGCCCTCACACGAATCTTTTGTTAAATTGACTTGTCCAGTCTTTAACATCTAGCAGGGCAATGGACAGCATAGATTCACAGCCTGCCATTTATCTTTGTCTTTCTAAAAATTTACTTTAAATACAGTATAATAATTGATAAGATATTGGAAACAGTACACATTTAGAAGACCAAGATGAGAGGCATTCAACCATAGGTTTTGTATTACACTTTGCTGTCCTCAATGTAGTTGCTCAGATCACAGATATCAGCACACAGAGTTAATCAAGGTGAAAATTGTACACATTAACTACTAGTTTCAAAAAACATGGAAATTACGACTA